TACTAGGGCATATAAGTAACATTAGATACTCCACGTAAGTATAGGTCAAATACTAATTCCTCGGTAATTATCTGGATTATTAAGTGGTTTTTTATAAGGTTTATAAAGTGAAATAGTTGTTGAAATTGATAGGTTGTTTGGTACCTTTCCACTTGTTAGAACACTGTGTAGAACTTTGCAAACCACAAAAAAAAATTGTTATTATGAGAGTTTTTAAGGTGTTCAGCACTTACCCCAAAGTTATCTGGGGACTTATTACAATTTAATTGTGACATGAAATTTATAATATCAGCTGATGTAAAAACTAGTAAAGTAGGCTCGTGACTTAGAGGCGGAATTTGAAGAGAATTATGGTTATTGTTTGTAATAAGAGACGTATTGAGTAGAGTTTGAAAATGCAGTCTAAATTCTTTAACGATATCTTTTATGTTTTGCGATTTATTAATAGTAAATAATCGAGTTGTTGCTTTAGTGTTGAATTTACGAATGTTATCCCAGAACTTCTGAGGATTTTTAGTTCGAAGATTTTCAATAGATTTTTTGTGGATCTATTTGTTACGAGCTGCTTTAACCTCTTTACAAAAATTTTTACGTCCAAGAAAATATTTCTTCAAAAGTCCGAGTATTAAAAATATTAAGACATTTTTATCTTTGAAACTAAATAAGCTAAAGATGTTGTTGAAACCATTTTGAAAATCAAATATCTTAAGAAATGCAATTTATTTATAATAAACAAAATTTATGTTGGCTATAAAAATAGCCTAAATACCCTAATAAAAGCAAGTCTTCGATTTGATTAAAAAAGAGCCTCTTTGTTAAAAAGCTTTAAAAATTTAAAGGTTTTGATTCATGCCTACTTTTAATTGAATAATTTTAAATTTATCTTATTTTACTATACTAATACTTCTACTGTTTTATTTTAGGTTTTCTACTGTTAAAATATGATTTTAATTTTGAAAATTTTCATGATTTGAAATTTGCTTTATCTAGTTTAATTTATTAAAATAGTAAAAAACAATTTAAAATTTTATGACTAATAATAATTAGATGAATAATTCTCAATGTTTTTATAGTTGCGTTTTACGTTTTTGCCGTACCGCAAAATGTCGGGCGCTGGCTTCACTAAGTTATACGCTTCACTAAGTTATACGCAAAAAGCTGCGAGTCACGCATCTAGTTATATTTATACATCATTGGTTTTATATTATTTGTCATTTTAAAAAAACTCTTAAATTAAAGGACTATGTTTATTTAACCAAACCAGCCACTTAAAACACCAATATAAAATTGTTTTAAAAGTCAGTAATTACTTTTTCCAAAAAAAAAAACACAAGAAAATGGGCTAACGTTACCCCATCTTACGGTATCTCAAATACCAAAACACTCTAGCTACGCCTCTGATCAATAATTTGATTTTTAAATTTGTACACTGCATATATATATATATATATATATATATATATATATATATATATATATATATATATATATATATATATAATTTAAAACAATATAAGCAACATATATAAATGTAAAAACAATAGAAATAGTTGTAAACAACCAAACTTTAGAGAAAAATAATAAAAATCCAAAATAAAGTTAAATTAAAGATAGATTAATTAGTAATACTGTAAAATGGTAATCGAGATTAAATTTTTTTATTTTGTTTTTAAAGAGACAAAAATAATTTAGTCGATCAAAATCGAATTTTTACTTTTTTCTTCAATCATTGCAAGAGCATTTAGTCAATCAAAATCAATTTTTTTATTTTTTTCCTTAATCATTGGAAGATAAATAGTGCCACAACCAATCATTAATGTTTCTTTGATGCCGTAATTCAAAACAAACCATCATTTATGTATTTTTTGATACCATATTTCACATTTGTTTGGTTAACCTTTTCAACTTTAATACATTTTGCTCGCTTGTAATTTCATTGTAACTTATATGTAATTATACAAAAAATCTACTTTTTAATTGACAAACAGATTGAAAATTAAGCAACAGGATGTTATCACTTCTTTTGTTTAATTTTCAAAAAGGGTGCTGAAAGATTATGTTAATTATTTTTATATGTAAGTTAATATACTCTGTCAAACATTCTATATTTTCACAAAATGTTTAAAAGTTTTTGAACAATGTTTTAAAATAATATGCTAAGAGTAGATTGAGTTTGATGAGGCATCGTTTTACAAAAACGGTTTCCGACAGTATAAAGCATATTAGGGCTATAGCCAACAAAGAAACCCTTTAACATTTATTTTAATAATTTTTTCCAAGAGTTGAAAAACCAATAACTCATCCTCCAAGCCTTCGACATGCCTCCAAAAAACAACTATGATAATAAACTAATATAACAAACAATCCAGTGTCCAAATTTTGTTCGCCGTGGCCGTAAACACTGTGTAGAAAAATATTGGAAGCAGTTAACAAGTGTAATGAAAAAATTTGTATTCTGACCAAGTATTCTGTTTTCTTTTCCTGCGATCATATCTATATGATATGATCGCAGGAAAAGAAAACAGAATACTTGGTCAAATAAAACATTGTTTTATATACTTAGATAAAGACCTAATGAATCTGCTGTATTGTTCGTTAGGTCGACCTTATTTGGAACTTGCTTAATGAAATAAAACAATGTTTTATTTCATATTTTCATACAATGTTACATTGTACGAAAATATGAAATAAAACATTGTTAACTAATGAAATGTAACATTGACTTAATTTAATGAAATAAAAATTTTTAATGCTTTCAATTTAAACTATTTAAACTAATTTAAACTTAATGTAAATTAAACATTTTTAATTTTAAAACAAACTTAATGAAATAAACATTGTTTTATAAACTTAGATAAAGACCTAATGAAACTGCTGAATTGTTCGTTTGGTCGACCCCATTTGGAATTTGCTTCACAAATATGGTATCCTTATTATAAAAAAGACATCAACAAAATAGAACAACTATAACGAAGAGCAACAAGAATAAGATGTTTAAAAAGTATGAAATATGAGGAGCGATTAAAAGAATTTAAATTGACGTCATTAGAAAAACGAAGAGAACGGAGCGATATAATAGAATATTATAAAATTAAAAATGACATTCATAAAGTAAATTGGAGATCCATTTAATAGACCCTTTAATAAACAACTTATATCCAAAATTAGGAGGTCATAATCAACGGTTGCACAAACAAATTGTTCGTCTTTCGGAAGCAAGAACGCATTACTTTACTAATAGGATTGTTAATCAATGAAACAGTCATTGTTAACTCTGTTAATTTAAATACTTTAAAAAAAAAAACTCGAGGAACATAAGAAAGGCAATTCTAAATAAAAATTGGATTGTTATCATTTTGTTATATTTGAATTTCATTAGTATTTTTTATGTTACTGTTAAAGTCACGCAACTACAGTTGAGTGACATTTTTATTTATTTTAATGCTTTCTGGCAGCGATGTCAGAGAGTTTTTGCCGCTTATGATTGTTTATAAAGCAAAAGACATTTTAACAGAGTTAGAATTAAAATGTACTACATAGAACTGTTGACGATATCATCCTATGGAGAAATACTTTTTAATGTCGTTATTTCAAAAAAAAAGAAGCGTTTTTAACATTATAATTGTTTTTTTAAAAAGGTTTTCAATATCGAACTCTTAATGCTGCGTATGAAGGAGATGTTTAAACATCTACTTCATACGCAACATGATTATTATGAAGGAGATGTTTAAACATCTGCTTCAACACGTGTGGGCTATTTGAGGAATCAAACGACAGTGATGTTTGATGTTCTGTTTTATATAGGTAGATGATAGAATCAAAAACCTATTCCGACGTTTGAAGTTTTGGGTAAATTGATGACCCAAAATTACATTGATGTTTTAAATAATTGCGTAACATAAAAACTAAGTAAATATAATTTACTTCGTCTAAAGATAATAGTTTGTAGTCTTGTGGAAAGTAATTTTGCCTTGTCGGCTGTCGACGCGGGATCAATTCCTCCTGGGCACAAATGTTTTTTTGTGTACTTTTATGTTATATTTTAAAATTTTAGCTCTAGTTTTATGCGTTATGTCTATGATTGTTCTCAATGCGTTATGTCTATGGTTGTTGTCAATAAAAAGTTAAATTGTTTATAAAACTTTATTTATTATAAAAATTAGGAGGTATGCATACATAGACTTAAACATGTAAAACAGGCAGGGAGTGTGCAAACAACGACTGAATAAATAGGTAGAACATGCAGGATGTATACATACATCTACTTAGGATTTCGGTTTGGACAGGCCAAAAGTTAAAAAAATAATTTATATTAAAAAGTGTTTAAAAATCAAGGCAAACACTTATTTTGGTATATTCCGGTCATCAATTTACACAAAAATTTAAACGACGGAATAGGTTTTTGATTCTATCATCTACCTTTTATATAGAGCAGGTTTGTAAATATTGTGATATATATATATACATGATGAAAAAAAAAACTAAACTTTTAAAGTAGTGTAAATTTTTTCGCATGAACCAAATTGAAATATTAGGTTCTACACAAATTACACTTCCTGATATCTGTTTGATTTTCAAAAGTATTTCCCCTCTTTATAATGTGTTAATCTAAAGCCTAGATTCTAGGCAAACCTAAGAAATAAAACATATAGTGTTCAAATTCACCTCAAATTGGTTGTTCATTGCCACCCTGTTTTAGAAATACGTTTATGCCATATAAAATCAAAAAATTAAAGTATTTTACTGCATAGTGTTGATCGAGCCTAAAAATTTTCTATGATGACAAAAATGTTTAAAATCATTTTCCATCAATAAAATACCTATGTCTACTCTATGAAACACGTTAGGTGCATTAAGATAGCTTGGGCACGTTTTACCGACCAAACCATAAAAATGATGAAAAGTTTCTAAGTTTTCATCAAACAAACATGAAAAGCAAAACACAATTGACTTAAGTACAAATATATTTTATTTATTGCGTCAAAAAAATCAAACAACAATTTTTGTTAAAGAGATGTTTATCATTTTTTTAATGTTTGCGACTCGCATTATTCATTCTTCTTTTTTTTAATTTCATTTATATTGAGATTTTTTTTTTCACTTTCAATTGTGTATTCTTCCTTTATGTTGGTCGTTATCGAATACCTTTGTTTCTATTTTTCGAACATAAAAAAGAAAAATTTATTACGTGTAAATAATTTACTACATTCAACTTAATCTGTCTTTTTAAAACGAATTAAAACTTAATACTGTTTTACTTACCTGCTTTCTTTGTCCTAAATTGACTTTCTTAGAAATTAGATGGAGCTTTTTTATAAAATTTTCAATTTCTCCAATTAAACGATTGCCATCAGTTATAAGTTGTTTAACTTGTTAAAAAAGAATATCAAAATATTTATATTTTATTTATATTTTGAAATATTCAAATTTATTAACATATTCATTAAGAATAATACTAATAGTAATAAAAGAGTAATAATTTTAGATAACAGTAACTCTATATAATAATGCTGACCCAGGTACTTGGATGGATCCCTCCTTGTTAAAAATTAGAGAAATAAAATAGTTACAATTATTAACTAATTCGACTGTCAACTAAATCGACTAATATATTTTTTAAAGTCCACTAAAAATCGATTTAGCCGAAATATGGGAATAATTAATTTTTATGAAAAAAATTGTAATAAAAATAATAAAGTAATTTAAATCCGCTTTCTATTTATTTAACCTTAACTCAGTAATATTTAGAATTTACCTTATATTATAAATTCTAAATATTACTGAGTTCGCTTTTAATGAATTTGAGGTTGCTTTCAAATCATTAAAACAAAATAAAGTTACTGGGTATGATGATATTAACACAAATATTGTGATTGATTCCTACGATGTTACGAAAGATATTCTGAATAAAATCTTCAGAGCATCTATTGCACAAGGATCTTTTCCAGATAAAAAAAATAGAGAAAGTACCTTCAATCTTTAAGACAGGGGATTATACAAATATAACAAATTATCGCCCTATTTCAGTTCTTCCAGTTTTTTCAAAATTTTTAGAAAAAACAATGTACAACCGAATTTACTCTTACCTTGTTAAAAATAAAATTCTAAATGAAAACTAATTTGGTTTCAAAAAAAATAATTCAACCGAGTATGCCATTCTTCAACTTACGCGCAATATAACTGACTCTTTTAAAGACTCTTGTTTTACACTAGGAGTGTTTATTGATTTGTCAAAGGCATTTGATACCGTCAATCATCAAATCCTGTTAAAAAAACTAATATCATACTGTATTAAAGATAAAACCATATTATGGTTTGAAAGTTATTTTACTAACCGTAAACAGATTGTTTACAATAAAGATTCTATATTTCATCTATTAATGAATATAACATGTGGTGTTTCAGAAAGATCCGTACTTAGTCGTCTTATTTTTTTAATATACATAAATGATCTTCATAAATTATATTATTCATTTATATATTATCATTCAAATTATGTGAATATTATATGGGGAAGCACTCTGAACAAAGCCAAAGTCTTATTACCTTAATCACAAACACGCAACTTGCGCAATCAATTTGAAAAATCATTTTTACATACCAAACAACTTTTTAAAGACATGAATATTTTAAATGTATATCAACTAAATGTCTTTAAATGTGGAGATTGCCCCTTTTTCGTGTAAAAGCAAACACCATTATTTTGTTTCTTACCGAGTTCTTTATCTACGGAACAAAATAGTCTTACCAAAGTTTAATTTTTCCACCCAACTGACTTTTGCTTCGTTCAAACAGAAACTTTAAAAATTATATTTTTAATTGAAAATATCTTTTTTTGATCGATTAATTTTAATTTCTTTTTTTGTTGTTGTTGCTGTTTTATTTTGTATATTATTTGATTTAACATTTTATCTTGGTTTTTTAACATTTTATCTTGGTTTTTAAATATATTTGCATATAGGTGTATTATTATTATTTCACTACAGATATTGTATTTTTATCAAAAATTAACCATATATTGTAAAGGGCTTCATGACAAGATCCTCATAATCTTCTTAAAGTCCTGTCGTTACTAATGTAAAAATTGTAAAATATATTAAGTTATTGTAATATTAAACAGCAAAATATTAAAAAAAAAAAGAAGTAATTTAGGCCATACGACCCCAAAAAGTGGCACGAGTAAGAGCATAATTTAAAGTATAACGGCATTTATTCAAAAGAATAACGTAAACACAGAGAACCTTATGGCAGTTGGATGTGATGGAACAGCCGTGAAAACAGGAAAGATTAATGGTGTAATACGCCACCTTGGGGAAAAACTTGAGCCCCCATTGCAATGGTTTGTTTGCATGCTACATGCAAACGAAGTATTGTTACGACATCTCTTTGAACATATTGATGAAGCCACCACAGTACCACGAGGATTCTCTGGACCAAACGACATATTGTTAGCTAATTGCGAGAAGTTGCTCAGGCAACAGTTTTCAAAAATCGAATGTGATTTTCAGAGTGTGAGCATTGCTGATCTAAGTTCAGATCATCAGTATCTAAATGATATTTGTGCTGCTGTTAACAGGGTCTCTGTCCACCATCTCTCAGGAAATCAGAAAAACTTGCAATGTCTTGCTGGGTCACACTAGCTAATAGAGTACTTAGATTGCATATAGCTACAACACATCCAGCTGATAAGTAGTGTTATCTTAAAGTAGTGGCAAAATTCATAATGAAAATCTATGAAACAATGTGTTTTACAAATAAAGCAAAACCATTATGCAAGGGTGGTGCTCGAAATTTGTCAATATCAATTTATAAAACACGCAATTTACCAGATAATCTTTAAGCCATTGTTGATCCGGTACTTCAACGTAATGGGTTCTTTGGTCACACTTAGAGTATGCTGTTAAGTACAATAACTGACGACAGGAGGCATGTACGAGAGCAGGAACTGCGGAATTTAATGAGAGCTTGAGCAAACAAGCAGCCAAAACGAACCAAAAACGGAATCAGGGTGTTTCAGGTACCAACTTTAATCATGGATGCTGAAGATTACATTGAGCTAATTGACTGGCAATGAATCACAGTGACAGAGCCCCCTGTTACAAACTTTTTGTTTGATATAAGATTGATTCATTTTGTTAGCAGTTAAGAAACACCTGTTATTGAGTTTCCGCATTTTCCATGCCATTTGCAAGCAGTTGAAAGATGCGTAAAAAACCTTATCAAAGCTTTAAAGGCAGTTATTTGGCAAAAAAACCGAGATGGTTTCATCCGAGAGAGGAATGCTGCCAGATTAGTAATACCTGTGTCCAACACAAAACAAGAATACTGCACAGGGTGAAAAACTGATTTCAACATTATAGGGTGATATTTTGAAAAACTAAACCCTGTAAACAATGTTGTTTAACTAAATTTTTGTATTTGTTTATCATTTTTCATGAATTTGTGGCCTGAGATTTTGAGGATTTCATTGAAAAAAATTTATTTTTTTTCAATGATATCCTCTTATCATTTATTTAAATTTTCAAAAGGTTATAATGACTAGAATGCAAAATCAAGCATTGTTTTCAACAATTTAAATACATGACATTTAATATCAATTTTCAAAGGATTTCAAAGTTATTTTAATTATAACAATTCTTTGAGTAATCGAGACGTATCGATTACTCAAAGAATTGAAATTGACAAAATTTTTTTCAATCCTTTGAATATTTTAATGATTTTTCTTTTAATGTACTTTCCAATAAATAAACACATTCTATGACAAAACATTTGGGAAAATTATCGACTTTTTACAAAAAATAAAATTTGCCAAAATTAAATTGCCCATGGAGGGCAGAAGACAATACCCAAGAAATAAAATTTTTTTTTACTGAGACACCTACTTAAGTGACTTATGGTAACTATTAAAATTTGTTTATAAAATTTTTTTTACTCTACTGTAATGAAGAATCACTACTAGCAAATGTATAATGTACAACATCAGAAATTTCACATCGGAAAATAGTCACAAAAACGTCATCATTTAATGTTTAAAAAAAATAAAAAGGCATACCCGGGTCAGGTGTCTTAACTTTCTCAATTGTTTTATTTACTATTTATATAAAGTTAAACTTGTAATAAATAAAAAATCATTTTTTAAAAGCATATATATTTATGTTATTTATAAAAACCTCATTGTATAATGTTTAGAAACAGTACCTGATTCAGAGGTCTTTTCTTCCTCAACTGTTTGATTTGCTATTTATATGAAAGTTAAGTTTTAATAATTATTCAATATCTTTTATAAAATTCATCAACATTATTCATAAAAGCATTATTGATTAATGTTTAAAACAAACAAAAAGACATACCTGGGTGAGTTGTCCATACTTCTTCAGTAAATGGATGTCCTTTTTATACAAAATAAATTTATAATAAATTTACCATCAGTTTTTAAAACCTTATGTTAATTGCATTATTCATAAAAGCGTCATCGATTAATCTTTAGAACAAATAAAAAGACATACCTGAGTGTGGTGACCATACTTCTTCAGTTACTGGATTTCCTTTTTATACAAAATAAATTTATAATAAATATACCATCAATTTCAAAAATCTTATGTTAATTGCATTATTCATAAAAACGTCATCGATTAATCCTTAGAACAAATAAAAAGACATACCTGAGTGAGGTGACCATACTTCTTCAGTTACTGGATTTCCTTTTTATACAAAATAAATTTGTAATAAATATACCATCAATTTTAAAAATCTTATGTTAATTGCATTATTCATAAAAGCGTCATCGATTAATCTTTAGAACAAATAAAAAGACATACCTGAGTGAGGTGGCCATACTTCTTCAGTTGCTGGATTTCCTTTTTACACAAAATAAATTTGTAATAAATATACCATCAATTTCAAACATCTTATGTTAAATGCATTATTCATAAAAGCGTCATCGATTAATCTTTAGAACAAATAAAAAGACATACCTGAGTGAGGTGGCCATACTTCTTCAGTTACTGGATTTCCTTTTTATACAAAATAAATTTGTAATAAATATACCATCAATTTCAAAAATCTTATGTTAAATGCATTATTCATAAAAGCGTCATCGATTAATCTTTAGAACAAATAAAAAGACATACCTGAGTGAGGTGACCATACTTCTTCAGTTACTGGATTTCCTTTTTATACAAAATAAATTTGTAATAAATATACCATCAATTTTAAAAATCTTATGTTAATTGCATTATTCATAAAAGCGTCATCGATTAATCTTTAGAACAAATAAAAAGACATACCTGAGTGAGGTGGCCATACTTCTTCAGTTGCTGGATTTCCTTTTTACACAAAATAAATTTGTAATAAATATACCATCAATTTCAAACATCTTATGTTAAATGCATTATTCATAAAAGCGTCATCGATTAATCTTTAGAACAAAAAAAAAGACATACCTGAGTGAGGTGACCATACTTCTTCAGTTACTGGATTTCCTTTTTATACAAAATAAATTTGTAATAAATATACCATCAATTTCAAAAATCTTATGTTAATTGCATTATTCATAAAAGCGTCATCGATTAATCTTTAGAACAAATAAAAAGACATACCTGAGTGAGGTGGCCATACTTCTTCAGTTACTGGATTTCCTTTTTATACAAAATAAATTTGTAATAAATATACCATCAATTTTAAAAATCTTATGTTAATTGCATTATTCATAAAAGCGTCATCATTTAATCTTTAGAACAAATAAAAAGACATACCTGAGTGAGGTGACCATACTTCTTCAGTTACTGGATTTCCTTTTTATACAAAATAAATTTTTAATAAATATACCATCAATTTTTAAAACCTTATGTTAATTGCATTATTCATAAAAGCGTCATCGATTAATCTTTAGAACAAATAAAAAGACATACCTGAGTGAGGTGGCCATACTTCTTCAGTTACTGGATTTCCTTTTTATACAAAATAAATTTGTAATAAATATACCATCAATTTTAAAAATCTTATGTTAATTGCATTATTCATAAAAGCGTCATCATTTAATCTTTAGAACAAATAAAAAGACATACCTGAGTGAGGTGACCATACTTCTTCAGTTACTGGATTTCCTTTTTATACAAAATAAATTTTTAATAAATATACCATCAATTTTTAAAACCTTATGTTAATTGCATTATTCATAAAAGCGTCATCGATTAATCTTTAGAACAAATAAAAAGACATACCTGAGTGAGGTGACCATACTTCTTCAGTTACTGGATTTCCTTTTTATACAAAATAAATTCGTATTAAATATACCATCAATTTTAAAAATCTTACGTTAATTGCATTATTCATAACAGCGTCATTGAATAATGTTTAGAATAAATATAAAGACATACCTGAGTGAGGTGACCATACTTCTTCAGTTACTGGATTTCCTTTTTATACAAAATAAATTCGTATTAAATATACCATCAATTTTTAAAACCTTATGTTAACTGCATTATTCATAACAGCGTCATTGAATAATGTTTAGACCCAATAAAAAGACATACCTGAGTGAGGTGACCATACTTCTTCAGTTACTGGATTTCCTTTTTATACAAAATAAATTGATAATAAATATACCATCAATTTTTAAAACCTTATGTTAATTGCGTTATTCATAAAAGCGTCATTGATGTTTAGAACAAATAAAAAGACATACCTGAGTGAGGTGTCCATACTTCAGTTACTGGATTTACTATTTATATAAAATATATTTATAAAAAATATACCATAAACTTTTAAAATCTATGTTAATTGCATTACTCATAAAAGCGTCATTGATGTTTAGAGCAAATAAAAAGACATACCTGAGTGAGGTGTCCATACTTCAGTTACTGGATTTTCTATTAATATGAAAGATTTTTATAAAAAATATACCATAAATTTTTAAAATCGATATTAATTGCATTATTCATAAAAGCATCATTATTTAATTTTCAGAACAAATAAAAAGACATACCTGAGTATTTCTTTACTTTTCTAGTTACATGATTTCCTAATTATATGAAATTAATTTGGATTAAATATACTATAAATTTTTAAAATTTATGATAATTGCGTTAATCATAAAAGCGTCGTTAATTAATGTTTAGAACAAGTAAAAAGACATACTAGTCATAGAGGAAGGTCTCCATATGTTTTTTTTAACTGGAATTCCTAATAATATAAAATATATTATTGATATACCATAAATTTTTAAAATCTTATGTTAATTGGGTTATTCATTTTTTAATTTTAATCAGGTTTTTAGGTCTAATAATGTGCAAAAAAGGGGTGCTGTTATGGTTTTCCATCCTTATGAGAAATTATGACCAAGCATTTTTATGTGCTAGAATTGATTAGAAATATATATAAAATAAATATATATAATAAAATAAATATATAAATAGTATATATATATATATATATATACATATATATATATATATATATATATATATATATATATATATATATATATATATATATATATATATATATATATATATATATATATATATATATATATATATATACTAGTGTTGTTTAAACATTTAAATATTATTTGACTGTCAACTAAATCAACTAAAACATTTTTGAAATCGACTAAAAGTCGATTTAGTAGAAATATGGGAATACCTTTTTTTTAAAAATAAGTTATAATCAAAATAGGAAATCAATTTGTATTTGGTTTCTTTTTTTACCATCATATTATTTAAATAACAATGGGGAAAAACAATGAGAGAACAGCAGAGAAAGTTGTCCTATTGTCACCGCTGTGACAACAGGACAACTTTTTCCCAGACCCCAAATTTAGGCATTTAAAACTTGTTTTTTATCATAAACTCTATACAATCATATTTACAATGTGAATTTATAGATGACATTTAGATTTTGATGCTGCACAACTTTATTTTGCCTCAGGATCACGAGCCAGCTTAGAACGGTTTTGTATGAAAGTATTTATGAGAATCACAAGCAGCAAGAAATGTTTAGCGGAGGTCAATAACAACATTAATAAAGAGGTTTAATATTTATAAGATAGTGGTCTATTTTATAATTAAAACTAAAAATATTAATATTATAAATGATAAAACAATAATTAGTAATGATAATACAAATTAAAGAAAATATAAAATACTTTAGGCATTTGAAAAGAAATGGTTTCTATTACCTTAGGATTTTTCCAATTTCTTAAGGATCGACCACAAATTATGTAATGCAAACTTTTATAATAAACAAAACAAAAAACATAAAAAGATTTCCCTTGCAACATCTTAACTTAAATACAAATCACAATATTCTTTTAAGTTTAATGAAAATCTTCTACTTCTGCTTTTTAAATTTATTTTGTGTTGCATAATTAACGAAAAATAACGATCACTAGCGACCGAGAAAGAAAAACACTGTTTAATTAAACATTGTTTATTTAAACACTGTTTTTTTATTAATTGTCTATTAAAACATTGTTTATTTAAGAATATTTGCTTTATAATAATAGAAATGTTTTTTCATTAAATGTTGTTAAATGCCCTAAGTAAAAATTAGATCTGGTGAACTTGAAAGCTAATTTTTGGGGTAAAGTAAATTAAGGAACATTTGCACTCTACTAATCTTTAGGGTAAAATGAATTAAGGAACATTTGCACTCTACTAATCTTGTTTCACTTGAGCTTTGTGTGCTGGTACTGAGTCCTGTTAGAAAGTCAATGTTCTGTAAACAAAATGATGCATCCACAACTTTAAAACAACTTTCTGTTTTAATGTTGAGGGCAAAACTTTAAAACAGACAGCATTACCTTTGACCCCTCAGCTGCATTAATTTTTTCCCGTATTTAAAAAAACAAATGTTAATGGAAAATGCCCAACAGAGGTCTTAGTAGTCTATACCACTACTTGAGGAGGTGAATGAAATTTAGTGGCCATTTAAATATTAAAACTTTCATTTGTTCTGCATGGTAGCCAAATACAACTATTTTGTTTGTTTACACTTTGCTGAATTGAAATTTTTTTCCAATTAGAAAACACTATGTTAGAAGATCTTAAGCTTTTGACAGTTTTTGTAACAATTTGCTCTATCTAGACGTAGTTTCCTTTACAAATTTTGTATAGTTTCATTTGAAAATGGTTTTCAAATACTTGAAATAATTTATCATAGCTGAATGCCTCTATCAGACACATTTCACAAGGCTTTTTTACTATTTGCTTTGGATTTTCTTTAATTTAAACTCTCACATTTTGAACCACATCAAAAAGTTACAATTTTTTTCCTCCACCTCCATAGCCCTTTTTTGCACACCCTTTTTTTCTTTGTGTACAGTCTATTTTTTTTTATACAGCCTATTTTTTTTGTAGAGTCAATTTTTTTTTTTTTTAGAATTTTGGTTCTCGCTGAGTTAGCCTCCATTAATTTTTATTACACCCCCCTCACCCTCAACTTTCTTGACTTTCCTACGCCACTGTTCTGTATTACTTGTTAAAGTAAAACTTATTTGAGATGCTTGTATCTAGTTTTTATTTATTTATTTGTTTAATTAGAGAATAAAACTTTTATTTAAAAATAATCTCAATGTCTTCTCTTGCAAAACTCCCTAAAAAAGTTAAATCAGCCATAAGTTTCATACTATCCAAATAAGAAATTAAGTTTAAATTAAAAAACAATTTTTTTTTTGTAATCAAATATAATTTTTTTATATGTATTTTTAAGAATAAATGTTATTGTTGTTTTTTCTAGAATGTTTCAAACATACAAAAAATTAAAACGTTAGATGCCTGCAATTCTGTTTCAAGTAAAGAAATATTCAAACATATAGGTGTGATTGAAGAGATCTCTCAAAATGAGTGCAAGGTGAACTATTGATGCTCTTCCAGGACAAAAAACAGTTTTAACCTCACAACAAAAAAAAAGAGATGTCTGAAAGGTCTTATTTTAATGGCTGATTGGGGCTGTGGTTTGGGGCTAGAGGTTAGATAAATAATTTAATACAAGATTTTATCGAAGCAAAAACTATTGATACAATTTTTATAGATTGCCGACCAAGTCAAGACTGGTTGCATGCTTACTTGCTGAAAAATTCTAAAATAATGCTAGCGTACAAATCTCTAAAATAATGCTAAAAGAACAAACTGTTTTTTTTTGTTAATACTGCGAATTAACAAAAGACATCACTTTAAATGTTGTGAATTAAAATATCTTGAACCTTTCCTTATATTTTATACCAGTTAGATTTTAAATTACCTCCCCAAGGCCACAGCAGTTGAGGAGGCAACTATAGTTGTGATTTCAACTAAATTATTACCAATACAAGGTGCTGCTAGAGTGTCGCTGAGCATTAGTGGCTCAAATTGGATCCAAATTACTGTAAACTATTGCCATCATACATAATCTACATAGGAAATTTTTTTTATATAGACTAGGTTAAGGGCCCTTTTCTTTCATTTTTTTTTTCAATTATTTTATTTAGTTTTTTACCAGTATTATATCAAATTTTTTTTTTTAAATAATGTGCTATACCTCGTATAAAAATATGTTGTCTGCTCTTTGGAAAAAAAAGTTTTTTAAACTTTACAATAGTCATTTATTTTAAAAGAAAAATCTAGAAGTATAAAAACAATGCTCCTTTTTGCTCTACATAAAACTTCATATTTTTTATATTTTCAAAATGAAAATATAAAACATACAATATAATACTCTGGATTTTTGATTGATTTGTATTTTCTTTAAAGAAATATTATGAACATACTTTAGTTATTATTTTAATAATGCACAACAGCAGTGTTTATAACTTTATACATTGAAATTCAATTTGAAAATTACTTGTTTTTGTTTTTCCTTCTTTTTTTACCAATTGCTTCTTCTTTTTTATAAAAAATATTGTTTTATTTTAATGTTTGTTATAAATATAACAAATGCTTTATTTGGCTAGAGTCTTATTTTGATATAAGTTACATTTCAGGTCAACTTTTTGGTGAAAGAAGAGATAGGCTGTAATTTTTTTCAAAGATAATAGGTCTAGCGAAAAACATTTGACTAAACTTGAAGATTTATGTCAGCTAATATTTGCCACAGGTTTTTTCAATTAAAAAATAAAATATAAAAATGAAAATAAAAAATTAAATTTTATTTCATTCAAATAAAAAATTTCATTAGATATTTTTAATAATTATAACAATTTAAAATTACTTTTAATTCAATTAAAGTTGATTGCAAAATTAAAACTTGATAAAGTTAAAATGACCAAACCTTTTTAATAATTAGAGGTTGTTTAACAAAGTTTTTAAAATTTTAGATAGGTTTTTATTTTATTTAGGAAAAACAAACAAACAAAAATTATTTCTGCTATTTTTTTGCGGTAGAAATAATTCAAGCTCCACCATTTATATTGAACCATTAGGCCGTAATAATCTTAAGAGAAGCAAGAAAGGTATTATATAAGTGCATGAGAGTGCTACATAAATTAAAATATTTGGACAAAATTCCAGTGTTGAGTGGTAGTGTTATAAAAAGGGAGTGTTATTCACTGTTTAAGTTAGATTTAAGTAAGTGTTGTTTTGGTGTTCTGCAAGTTTGTGTTAATTATTATGCTTAGTGTTTGTAGTGTTCTAAATTTTAAAGTTTTATATGTCAATTAATGTCTTTATTTGCATGAATCTGCATTTTCATAAATACTTTGGTTTTCCTTATTTATATTTTGATGTTATAATGTTCTTTGTGATTGTTGTCTTTCCTATTTATTTATCTCCTCTCATCTGTTATTCAGGTTCTATTTTCCTTCCTTTTCCTGTATTTAGCCTATTTTGTTTTTCTTTGTCTTAATTATTATTTTTATTATATTGTCGTCTTTTATTTTTTACGCCTTTATCGT